CTCTCTTTCTCTCTTTTCTCTCGCTCTCTCGTCTCTCTCGTCTCTCTCTCTCTCTCCTCTCTCTCTCTCTCTCCTCTTCTCTCTCTCTCTCTCTCTCTCTCTCTCTCCTCTCTTCTCTCTCTACTCTCTCACTCTCTCTCCTACCTACTCTCTCTCATCGCTATTCATCTCTCTACTCATACTACATCGCACTCCACTCATCTCACACTCAGCACATCCATCATCTCTCTCTTCTCTCTCTCTCTCTCTATCTTCTCTGTAAGTATGCTATTGTTAGAAAAAAAATGATTATAATATTTTTAGATGAGGATATTCACCAAAATAAGATTTGTGTGAAAGGAGACTGTTCAAGCTATGCTGAAATTTTGTTTTCAGGGGTACCCAAAAAGTTAGATTACTGAAGATTAACTCAGAACATACACAAGGAAAATGTAGAGAATTTCAATTTTAACTTCCTAATGGGCACCTCTCAAAATTTGGTCTAAGATGTGCAGTTTTAAAGCAAACTCTACATGAAGTAAATTTGCAAGATTTAATTGTTTTTACGGCAAATTGCATCAAAATTTTCTGCCTCAAAGCGGCCATTACTGTTCGAGTGTGGGTTTACATCTGTTTTTTTGGCAACTAGTACAGCAATCATTAATGTACTGGTATAACTCACCACACAAAGTTGGGTCTTTACTCTGAATTTTTATTCTCGAACCCAACAGGCAAGACTCAGTATGTGGTCCCTCTTGCATATGATAGCATGCTGAATATGTTATGTAATATGTGTAAAATATAACATGTATATGTATATATGTTATATATGTATATATGTTTTACTGTTATATATGTATATATGATATATGTTTTGTATATTACTCGCAATATATGTTCATTACATTCATATATCATACTATATATATATATATATATGAATACATACATCAACATGCGATCTGTATATATAGTGTGTGTGTGTGTGTGTGTGTGTGTGTGTTATACCATGTGTATATAGATGTGTATATATGATGTATCATGTAATTTAATTAATAATATATATAATATATATATATATTATATATATATAAATATATATTATTATATATATGTATTATTATAATATATATATATGTTATATTATAATATAAGTTAATATATATATATATATATTGTATATATATGTAATATGTTGTGTGTGTCGTGTTGTATATGATGATATTATAGTATTATATGTATATATATAATATTATATATATATATAGTATATATACTATATAAGTATAATATATATATATTAATGTATATATATATATATATTATATATATTTAATATATATTAAATATATATGTAGTGTAAAATATATATTAGTATGAGTGTGTGTGTGTGTGGTATTGATATGTTATGTGTGTTGTGTGTTGTGTGTGTGGTGTGTGGTTGTGTGTGTGTGTGTGTGTGTGTATAAATTTAATTTATAATTCAAGGTCAGTGAAACATCACCCACCATAACCGTGTAGTATACTAAACAACAAGGAAAAGAACTGTAGGCTTCAGTACCTCTTACTTATTTAATGATTGGTTAACAAAAGTAGTAGATATTTGGTAAGGATACCAAAAAATTTGGTGAAGGGAATTTGATTAGATTTGGATCTCATAAACTTTTACGAATATATGTACATACACCCATGTATAGATATGCTGTTGCTTTTGTGTGACTTTCCCATAAATACTGCTTTTTCCTTTATTGATATTCTATAATTGGTATGACTAGAAATGGAGTGTGTAATGCATTTTGAATATCCTGTATATACATTTTCTGGCTCTGAAGTTTTCCTGTTGTGTGTTGTTATTATATACATGTCTTGTGTGTTGAGTGTGCTTATTCTTGTCCAAGTTAGTTTTTGCAAAGAAGATTTATGTAACTGGTGTGTATATTCTATGGATATTATTAAATTTCTTGTGTAGAGAAAATATGTGCATATTTTTTTAGGATATTTGTATAAGTTCAAAGTTTGAGGTGGAATATTTTTTCATCTTAATTTATTTGATACAGAAGAAGTATTTTATACAGAACTTTTTCATTTTAATTTTCCTTTTCCTGGTATGTTGATCAATCATCAGCTCGCCGAGATATATTACCAGAACATTTTTTTTTTCATAAGTAACAAACGGTGCTTTCTCACCATCAAAACTCCCCTTTTGTTTCAGCTTAAGATGGCGAGCGTTAAACGGAAGTGGCAGGTGTTCCCTGGGCGCAACAAATTCTACTGCGATGGGCGGATAATGATGGCACAGCAGACGGGCATCTTTTACTTCACCGTTGGTCTTATATTTGTCACAAATGTGCTTTTCTTTGTCTTTGAGTAAGTATTTTTCTCTTTTTTATTTTATTTTTTCATTTTCTTTCTTTTACTGGCACAATAATGGTGGTCATCTTCATATGAATATCCATTGTCATCTCCATCTCCATTATCTCCATCATTGTCTCTATTCTGGGGGCATGATATCACTCCTACTTCCATCTACATTGTCATCTTTGTTGTGCATTTCGTTGTCATTGTCATCGCCATCACTATCACCTCCATTGTTATGTTCCTTTCTTTCACCATCGTCAATATCATCGTCACCATCATCATCATCTTCCTCTCCTTGTCTTATCTTTCTGTCATCTTATGGGAAGTTGGTTGAATCGATCAATGTAACAATTTTTGCATTCTTTCGCATCTGAAGTGTTTGTGTTAATTATTACACATTATTTTGGCACAAAGTTTAAGTAAAAAAAAGGAAAAAAACAACCCCCTACCCAGCCAAAAGAAAAAACTAAAATGTTACCTCTTTTTATTAATAGTTTTTTTATTAATAGTTTTATTATTAACATGATCCATCCAAACAATCCTTTAATAAGGTATTATCCTAAAACTTATCAACATTCTGATGCTTGTTTACATTTTGCAGCTGTCCCTTCTTGGCAAAATATCTTACGCCAGCAATCCCAGCTGTCGGAGCTCTCTTGTTTATCTTCGTCATGTCGTCCCTTTTCCACACGTCATTCAGTGACCCAGGGATCATTCCCAGGGCGACGGCCGAGGAGGCTATTTATACGGAAAAGCAAATTGGTAATGCCCTGTGTGCTTGGTTTTTTTTGTATTTTATTTTGTTTAGTTGTTTATCCTATTTTTGTTTTACTTGTTTGTTTATTTATTTATTCATTTTTCATTTTGCATGTCATGGAAGAAGTGGTGATGAGTTAAAGAGTGTAAGGAACACTTGATTTGTTTTGATTTGAAAAGGGATTATTATTTTTTATTTTTTTCTCGTTTGTTTGTTATTGAAGTTGCTCTGCAATAGGAAATTTTAGGAGCACTGTTGCTGTCCCTAGAAAGGCTAATTATGGTACATGATTTTGGCCAAATTTGATTGCACTAATATGCTGTTGTATGTAGTTGGCATAAATATAGCAAACTGACTTTTTTTGTTTTCTTTTTTTTTGTTATTGCTACATCAATCTTTGTTCAACAGAGGTGCCGAATTCTGGCAATGTTCCCAGCTATCGGCCTCCACCACGAACCAAGGAAATAACTGTCAGGGGCGTAACTGTAAAGCTTAAGTACTGTTTTACCTGCAAAATATTCAGACCACCTCGAGCATCACACTGTTCAATCTGCGATAATTGTGTTGGTAAGATAAGAGCTTACGCCATTTCTTAGTTTTCTATTAGATATTGTTTGATATAAGCTATAATTGAAAAGAAAAATTAATTAGAATCTTGCACCCTAAGAAAGCACTAAAGTCTCTGTCCGACCAAAAGAAGAAAAAAAAATCAGCCTCCGCCTTACGAAATTTACCTGTGACTGAAATATTTTGCAGAGCGGTTTGACCATCACTGCCCATGGGTCGGTAACTGCGTAGGCAAAAGAAATTACCGGTATTTCTACCTCTTCATTATATCTCTGGCTTTTCTCTGTGTGTTCATATTCTCCTGCGTCATTGCACATCTTGTCATATGTAAGTACCGACAGGACAGATTTTACTTTGTAGCTCTTGATGCGTATATAAACCAAGGAGTAGAGTAGGCTCCATGTTGTAAATTGATAGTAACTAACCCTCTGCCAGTACTGTTTTCAGTAGAATTTGCTCATTTTCATGTTTGCCCCCTTTTACTTTATATTAGTTATTTTTTGAAGTTTCAATATTTCTTGAAGATTATGCTATGCATTTTATATGGATTACCATTATAATTACTGATCTTCTTCAATACTCTCTCTGATACTGTTAGACATGAACAAGGAAGGTAAGACTTTCATGGTGGCCATCCAGAAGAACCCAGCATCTGTGATAGAAGGTGTCATCTGCTTTTTCTCGGTGTGGTCCCAGGGCTGGCTGGCGGGCTTCCACACCTACCTCACCACATCCAACCAAACCACCAATGAGGATGTTAGTATATGTGAATATGTATAGCAATCACCCAGTGCAAGGGGTTATGTATCTTTTGACAGTTTGATGTTGGTTTGATAACCTAGAAGCATAATGTACAAATTTGTAAGAGAACAGTTAATTGTCTCCTATTTTATGACAAAATTTACTCTGACCTGCACTAGGGACAGAATTTTTTTCTCTGCATTATAGTGGCCTTGATAAATTTCTAATAGTGATTGATATATTTAAGTGTCTTAACATTATAGAATAATAATTATTTTTCTATTGGCAGATCAAAGGTTCATTTACTGCTCGTCGTGGCCAAGCTAACTTCAATCCCTACGGATATGGGAACTTCTGCCTCAACTGCCTGGCTGTTCTTTGTGGACCAGTTCAGCCGAGTCTCATTGGTAAAGAAAAACAACTATTGTATTTTATTATAAAATGATGGTTCTGGCAACCTGTCACATGTAGAATATGATAGATTATAGACATTTTATGATTTTTATACTTTTGAATGTCAGGTAACTCTCTAGGAAACTGAATGGGCTTGAAATGTTTCATGTAATTTCTCACAGGTACTAGTACACTTAAGAAATAGATTAATTAAAAATAATAATTGATAATATAAAAAAGAAAAAAAGAAATGTATCACCTTCTAAATGTGTTTAATTCTTGTCAAGTCCATCGCGTGTGATGAGGTAGGCTAAATGCTACTCACACTAGCTGAATACGTGAAGCTCTTGTAGTCTGTGCACACCGAAGCGAGAAACCTGAAAGAGTATACTATCATAGAAAAACTCAAAGCATCTTCCTAAGTAATAAAAGATTATGAGGAGTTCAATAGCACACAGTATGCAACTCATACGTGCAGGTGGACCAGTAAAGAAGGCACATCCAATGATTGGAGCTCAGTGAGACATGAGAGTTAGATACAAGTGACAGTGAAAATTAACCAGTCACCGCCGTAGAGATACATTTATTGAGTAGAGCCCAAATAAAACATACAGCGGAATCATAACGAGTATCAGCTAGCATAAGCCCCTGCACGTCTGTTCTCTCTCTCACCAGGTCCTGTCTCGCCGCATGTGCGCGCATGAAGCAACGTCCAGAGGCAATTACGTCTTAATCGTTGGCGTGCATCGCGCGATGATATAGACGAGTCTGTATTTTTAAAATCAGAAAATAATAACTATCTCACATACAATTAACTAGTCTGTAAGTAGCTTTGTGATATACTAGAGCCTTGTGATAGGGTCAGATATATAGACAGTACACTGATCCGATGTATCGATGCTACTGAGCAATCGCAATATGCTTTAAATATGATAGTAATACGAGCGGCGATTTGCGTATTGTAAGAAGAAACAAGACTGATGATCTTGCCCTCTAAATCGTAAGTACATTCTCTAACTAGTTCAACCCTGTATGACGACAAATCTTACACAACATATAAAAGCTTATTGATTCGAGAAACAATGAAGTTATCCTCATAAATTGAAGTACAGGTAACGAGTTCATGAATGCTACATTCTTCTAATCTAAGCTTCTTATCTATAATTTAGAAAAGTCAAAAACTCTGCCAGTATTAAATTGCTATCTCTGCGTTATCTTTACTACTTACTCTTCTATATGACTAACGCACAAAATCTTAATTGACTATTTAACGATAGCATATATATCTTCGTGTTGTACATATTCCCAGCAAAGTGCTCTCCTACACTAGCTATAGACCGAACACTATAAAAAGACTCTCTGAGACGGTTTTTCGTCTTCTAGAAACATCATTGAATTTTGATTGTTGAATCAGTGTTCCAACCTAATCACCACTTTATTCTCTTATATCTATTAATATTCTGTATATTTATCTTCTATAACAATTCACGTACACAATATACTACAAACTGTTCTTAAATTATCCATGTCTAATATAAATACCATGTACATAGTATGACAATGCAGTAACTATCAAGAAACACATGTAAATTCATCCTATACTAGTGTACATAGTGTTTACATTGCCACCGAATGCTGCTATCTCTAATTGATCCTAAAATAGACACCTAGCATATATAAGTAACACGAAACTAATGTCATACTAGCTAGAGCTGAATTTAGCCGTACACCTACAGCTTCAGACAAAACCTTAATGTAAACTTAGCACCAAGTATCATAATATAAGTCTACGCAAACAGACAGACTCTTTAGGTGTTAATAGAGATAGACCAAGTGTCCATAAAGCGACTGCTTCATATTAATAACAGGGATTTGCCCTATATAACACAAACTTCATCTCTATAGTTTTAGAGACTCAAAAATAGATTACAAAAATTACTATGCTTTAGCATTTTGACTTCAAGGATGGTTCAAGCGCGGTTATTAGGATCTATAAGATATCTCAATATGAAATCACGCTCTATTGCAATTCCAGACCGATCAATCTAATTGAACACCGCATTGGACAAAGCTGAGATAGCTGCCCTGACACATCACACCCCCAGTAGCGAACATAGCGCAAATGTGTACGTTTCTCAGACCTATAGAACAGCAGAAACAGGTAATGAAATATCTAACCTATAGTATTACTCAAGATATCCACACGAGCCAATGCTCTCTAATGTCCTTGGACAACAGCTATTATCATTTATAACCTCTAGAGACAAGCTATATACAGAGATATGCAGTGCAGAACGCACATTACATTAAATTATATATAAAAAAAATTATCATGAGTCAAACTTATAAATTTCCTGATATTGTAGCTACTATAACACATAACTACCACACTCGCATCTAGTAACAACTTCTGTGAATAAGCCAAAACAATACCAGTCGAGAGATTTATTTAAAGACCTTCTCTCTATGAATATCTATATATAGATATAACCTATCATATATGAGTCGTCGATCTTCAGAATTATAACACTCTACTCTATGAGCAATACGCAAATGCTCTATCATATTCCAAGTACCCATCCAAGATTATGATCCTCGTATATATCAAATTTCTGTATCAGATTTTTGATCTATATGTACTTTCGGCTCGAGTCTATGCCATAATTATAATATATTATTTATCGTAATGTATCGTATATATGATATTTTTCGCATATTTCAATCGGTCTTTCGAAATATGTTCTCCAAGCAGCTGAGAGGAGAAGCGACACGAATATATCTGCTAAATCTTATAATTAGCGCGAGAGACCCTCTGTTACCCGATACTATAGTAAAAATACACACTTATGATCGAGGCTGATTTAAAATAAAACTTGGTCACATACACGCTGTCGTCGCGTGAAGTACGCTTCCAACTAAGAGTTACATTAAGATCGAGACTAAGCTCTACCATCATGTATAGCCAATCTCCACAAAAAGTTGCAGAATGTAAGGCATCCAACACCTTGATGACAATAGAGTATAATACCTGAGTGCCTAATTCGCGAGTCTACATTATTCAAATACCATATCTGACTACTAGCATACAGCTCTTCAGGAAACACAAACATGAGCTATATATTATGCAAATCTACTGAAATGAGACTGAGCTCAGACGATTAGCAACCAGTACACTTAGTGGTAATACAGCAACATGTGTGCGATCTATCTAGATAATTTTTGTTTGATTTGTGTGTGGGGAATTGTAAGTATGACAGTGAGATGTAGTGATGTGTACTACACAAGACAATACCAGGCGACATGCCATCAATGCTACCCTGGAGTGCATCGATATATTAAAATACCGCCACTTCACAGTTAGAAAAATGGCATTGCCACTTATGGACATATTGGCATCTCTAATCCCACCCCTCCATTGCATCTGTTAATCCCACCTTTTATGATAATATTGTGACATAGTGAATTAAGGTCGATAAGTTAATTAAAGAACCTAGTTTTCACTGAAAATGAGTCTACATAGGAAGGATTAGGGTGAGTTATGCTATTCACACTGGGGTCACAGATGAGTCATATACTGCTTCACTTGCTTGTTCAAAGGCTCAGAGCTACAAGCAAGGCATTGATATGTGTTATGCTACTTCCAGAACCCATAATGAAGTCCAAATAGAACCATTCTGCTGGATTTATATGTTAGTGTTGTATCAGTGTCTCTTTATTATGGAAAGTAACCACAGGCATACTTAAGCCTTTTTCTCTGTATATGGTGAATGTTATTTTGAAAAGTTACTACATTCTACTGTAGGAGCTTAGAGTAATATTGGTGGAAAAGAAGGCAATGATAAAGGAGAGAATAATTGCTAACCCAATGCTGCCAGGGATGGCATGTACATACATGGCATGCCTACTGAGAGTTTAGCTCATTGATTTCTTATATATATTTCTTGACAAGTACTTACTCACCATTGAGTCAATTATTAGTGCTACCTATTTTGCCTAATTACCCTTTCCCATGATTTTTAAGATGTTTTCAGGTGAGGTCTACTAATTGACTACTTAATGGTTGTGTACTTGTGGATTCATCTATGTGCAAATTTGACAAATTCATGCTAATTGCTTACTATTAATAGTTATCATACTACTAATAGTATGATTATGTTTCACAAAAAAACTACAGTGAACACTACATTTTCGTGGTAGCATTGGGTAAAAGGAAAAAAGAAAATTAAATAGGAGAGAGACATACAGCCCATTTGTACTTTTATTTGCACATTAACAATACATATAAATGAATAACAATATCAACAGTAAGAGTTATATATGGTGTTGGAATTTTATGTTTTGAAAGTGCATGACAGGAATGAAATCACACAGTGCAAAAAAAAGTAGCCGGGAGAAGGAGTCCTGGCTATGGAGTAAATAATTGGAACTGATATTTAGCTTTAGTTAAGAATTCATTAGGTTCCAGAAAGTTGAGGACTCCTGGCATATACAGACAGGGCTTCCTGCCTTTTAGTCCATTATAACTAGGGTAGAATTCACAAATATAGATATTCACATACACAAATACACATACATATACACATACATATACATATACATATGTATACACATACACAGACAAATGCATATACATATACATGCACATTCACATATACCTATTTATATACATAATGTGTATATAATACATATACCATATAGTGTCATCTGTATATATGTGGTAGAATATGATACTTGCATATGGTGTCATTTTATATCATTGACATAGAATAGTATGTAAAGTTATTATTTTACCCATGAACCAAAATGTCTGTTGGATCTTCTTCACACCCAATATACATATTCTAGTCAGACATCAAAGATACTAAATCAAATCTTGATTAACTCCAATGTTTTCATAGGATTTAAAATTTATTTTGATATGTGTTTTAATGGATTTCTTGGTACTATATGCAAGCATTTATTACCACTTCTGTACATATATACCTTGTACATTTGTACATATATATGTGTAATACATATGTCCATATGCTGTAGGTTCTGAAATTCAAAGCACGTGATGTTTTATTATGGAATGTATTCTCAAAAAGTATTTCTTCATATTACCTATATCCATCAATCGATCATCATGTAAAAAAGTAGAATATTGTGATTAGATTTATTCATTCTTTCCAAATTGTACCTCATAAAAGGATCTGAGGATTCACA